AGCGACCTTAGCAAAAACATTGTGAATTACACAGAAAAAAGACCATCACCTGAACTGGCTCGTGCCTATTCCTGTGCTCCTCCTTCAGAGCACACCAAACCTGCTGGAAAGTGCCAGGAGTGATAGAATCAGCAGCCAACCCCACTCCGAGCTGAGACTGCAAACACGCACGGCTCCCTCTAGACACAGGTTTTAGATGAGCTGCTGATTGGCAATATATCAGAATCCTGCTACACAGCTCAAGAATCCACAGAATCTGCCTTCTTGCAGAACTCTGTTCAGTCCCCTTGATACAGATCTAGTGCAGCCTGCTACTTAGAGAAGGAAAATCAGAGATGCATTCACCTGGCAGCACGAGACCACAGCTCCTTTCTCAGGACTGCTCTAACTGCACACTCAGTGTCTTTGGAGAGTCCATCCTTACTTATTTCCCTCTTTTTATCTTCTCTTTATAGCCTTACTATCAACTGTCAGAAATTTCCAGATCTTTCCATTGTTCTGTTTTCCTCCCTGAGAACAGCTCAAGGCATTTTTCAAGTATCAAAATTAATTTAAAGCTTCTATTCCTAGGGCTAGATTCCAATATGAACACATTACAGAGACTTCCAAAGTACAAATAGAACTGGAGGATATAAAAATCTACTTGTGTAGAGTAGCATTTTTGAGCATTTAGGCTGTTATCTGTCACTGGAATTCACTATGACTAAATTATTTTGAACCATCTCCAAATGATAAATCATAAAATACAGTATTTATCTAGGAAAATAAAAAAAGATTAGACATGACCCCTTTTAAGACCATAGTGGCATTTGTGACCTCTTACATATTATAGGGTTATTTATTCAGTTTACAATGTGTATAGCATGAGGAATAGATCTCATGAGTGATACAACTTTGTTCTGAGGACTGAGGAAATATGATATTTGAAGTTCTCCATGAACTGTCTGAAAAGGTTTTCCCCAAAGCTTTTTTGTTGGGGTAGCTAAACAGGGAAATGTGTAAATGCAGTTTGGGTTCAGCAAAGACCCAAGTCTATATCACCTTTTCTATTTCAAGATCTCTATTTATTTGGAAACCTAATTTCTCAACCTCTAGTTTGCATGTCTTTGACAACTTTCATTCACACCATATGCAAATATTAAATGTGTTACTGTTAGGAGTAACGTGAGATGATTTATTATTCATTTAATCAGATGAATCTGCTAATACCAGAAGACTGTAGTTTTAAATGCTATCAATATTTGCATTACCAGTAACTGGAATCAGCTAAGCATGCAGCTGGTTCAGTTTTATGGAGGGCTGTTGGAGGGGGTTTTGTTTTGCATATTGAATGCAGACTCCTCTGGGATCTCTAAGGAGACTGCTGATTTTCTGCTCTTCCCTTGGCCACTTCTGGCCATCCTGAGCTGGATGGACCCCCAGTCTGACTCCATGGAGCTCATTATATATTACACAGGTATTTTATGTAGAAACAGCAGACAAAAGGTATTTACACTCTGTATTAGCAGGACTCTGCTTCACACATTCTCTATTTTCCAAACTAAGACTGGAGTTAGCCAAGAATTGTTAAATAGCTAAATTAGCTGCCTCTCCAAGCACAGCACTTTTTATACAGGCTTAGAAATATCTTCTTTTTTTTTTTTTTTGCTAAACTCACAAAAGCATAAAGTAGTTGTAGCCAAGGCAATGCCATGAGAAGCACTCCCAGAGCAGCAGGAGTGGGCACGAGGAGCAGAGCTCAGGGGGCTGCTGGATGCAGCACAGCCACAGCCCCAGGGCATTGGCTACACCCCTGAATGCCCCACTGCACCTCCATAAACACCCATTGTGCTCCTTCAATGAACAACACATCTCAGAGCTGAAAACCAGCAATGTGTATGCCTGGACCATTTAATTTGGGAAATTGGGAAAGCATGCTCATCTCCTGTGGCTCCTTTTTCTCTATGTTCTTCCTTCATAAGATCTCAGCATTTCACAGCTACTGAAGAATTCAAAGAATGCCATTAACTTGTTCTGAAAGAATTCTGCAGCAAATCTTAATACTTACACACAGAAGTTCCTTTTCAAGCCAAAATATTACAGCTTTTTGTTTTCTAGGTGATGTCTCAGCCCTTTTATTCATTTTATCACTCTTTCCCAATAGTTACTCCATCACAAATCATGAAACTGTATTATTATTCTTTCATAACTTACAAACCCCAATTTCCAAGTTTTGGTCTCAAGAGTTTGTTCTCTGCTTACTGGGTTGCTTTTAGAGTGTGGCTATACTTGTGTTTATCACAAGAGAGAGAAAAGGAGAAGGGGAGAAGGGAAGAAATTTTAAAGGGAGAGATGGATGAAATGAATTTCTGGAAATTATATTCTCTTAGGGCAAGGAAGATGTGTCAGTGGCTAAAAAAATGGAGAAAAACCATCGAGAATAGCTCCCACACACTTCACCTACTTGAAATGTACATATTTTCTATGATTTTCTATTTTTCTGGACAGATAGATGAAAACTGAAGCTCAGATTGTTTTTCTCTGGGAGTTGTCATACACAAAGACTCTGATTTGGAATTCTGTTTAGAACCCCAGGACAGGCAGGAAGTGAAGAAATCCTTTTGGTTACCAGCAGTGAAAATGCTGCATCATTCACACTGAGAAACAAATGTGGGCACAACATCTACACATAAATATTTCAGGAAACCTGCCTCCTCAATTCAAAAATCTAGGCCTTATTATTAGAGGGAAAAACTTATTAAATACCTCATAAAACCCCATTTCCCTGAATAGCCCATCAAAACTGAGATTAAATCACACTTACAGTCATTTATCACTATATGAAATACTACATTTGCACCCTCAGAATTGTATTGGAGCACCTGTCACTGCCTATGGGCACAATACGTGAATTTTATGCCTATCTGAATACAAAGAGTGGCTGTAGAGGCAAACAAATTGATAAATACAGCCATATCTGAATTCTTCAGTTCTGTGGATTGCCACAGAAGTTTCAATTCTCAAGGCTTCTCCAAGCTTGTTTGGCTTTAAGACTTCACAGAAATGAAAGAGTTTGTGAAATAACTAAGCCTGGAGCTCAGAAACTGCATCATCTCATTTCAAAAATGTTTGAAATGCGCTCATTTAACAGTTCCTGAAATGAAATACAGCAGACTTCCAGGGCTGCAACATTCATCTCCTCATTTGCAATCCAAAGTTTTACAAAAGCTTAATGGAATTTAAGCTGTTTTCTTTTTTTTTTTTTTTTTTTTTAATCCAGAGACTCATCCTTCCATCTCTGAGAAGAGACTGGCCCTGGCAATGAAAAAGGAGGCTGAAGTACTTAATTTATGTGAGATCCCACATCTCAGAGCAGTGTAAGACACAGCAATACCCTGGAACTTGCTGCTCTTCACCTCAGTAGAAAATGGACTGTAGCACTGCCCTTTCACACACACGGACAGGATCCTTCCAGTGTAACAAATTGCTTTACATTATGGGAGTGTGGCATTTCAAAAGATGTCCATTTGCCTTCTTGAGTCAAAATGAAAAGTGTCTATTGCATTGTTATGCCTTTTTGGTAGGTATATTAAGATCTAACAATATAGCTGAAATAATGACTTCTTTGCTTGCTAGCAATTAACAAGATGCAAGAGAGGGAAATATGCCTCAAGAATTATTTTTCTATGTTATAAAACGTAGAACTCTCTCTGCTATCTTACCCTCACCAGAGTGTTGTGGATAACAAGCCTGTAAAATATGAAGAATTTTTGTTGTTTGTTTGCTTGTTTGTGAAGGGTTTTCTTGCTTAGTTTTTGGCTGGTTGATTGGTTTGGGTTTTGTTTGTTTTGATTTGGATTTTTGCTTGTTTGGTTTGGGTCACCATGTTTTCAAGCTATCGGGCTCATGCAGACTGAGAGTACTGAGATTCCTATAAAATAAAGGTTCAGATAATGAATTTCTGTTTCGATTATTTCTGGTTTCTCAGGTTTGAGAGCTGTCACGGCAGCCTGTGAAGCTGTTTTGTACAATCACAAGATTTGTGATCTAAATTCAAACTGGAGCTCTAAAAAGCAGAGAGATGTAGTCAAAAAAGCCAAGATTAGCTATGCTTTTGTTCAAAAAGAACATTAAATTCTGCACCTGAAAAGCACAACTCAACTCCACGTAAACTCCCTCAGGGTAAAGCCCCAGTTTTGCTCACTCTTGTTCTCTAAAACTGAATAGTGAATAATTCAAAAGTTTCATTAATTTTGTAGGAATGGGATAATGTTAAAAGAGTAGAAATCTATAGCCTGAAGGGCCCGGTGCAGGGGAAGAACTGAGGGCTAGGCTGGGGTTGGAATTCACCGCTTGTGTTTGCGAGGGGAGTGAGGACAGCGCTCCCCACTGTGGCAAGCACATTTCTCTCCCTCTCAGGATTTTTCATAGAGGTGCACAGAGAGAAATGAAAGCGAAAACAGTTTATATTTCTGCTCCCTGTTTTTCCCATGTGGAATGTGTTTGGATAATTGTTTACCTGGAGTGAGTGCTTGATTGGATTCTGGTGAGGATTGTTCGAGCCTGATGGCCAATCCAACCCACCTGTGGCTGGACTCTTCCGAGAGGGTCACGAGTTGTGTTAGAGTTAGTGTCAGAGAAAGTAGTATGTAGTTTTAGTATCCTCCTTTTACATAGTATATTAATGTATTTTAGCATGGTTATAATAAAGAAATAATTCAGCCTTCTGAATTGAGTCAGACATCGTCGTTTCTTCCCATTGGGTTCCCCTGCATTTACAATACCCCACCTGCGGGGAAACACCGGCGCTGAAGGAGCAGCAGGCAAGGCAAAGCTCTGGGGCATACCCGGAGCAACCTGCCCAGCGCTGTGCTGCCCATCACCGGCACAGACATCCATCCTTCCCGGCCCCGTCTGCAGGCCGCGCTTCTCCCCCTCAGCCAGAGCCGCCGCGTTCCGCGGGCGAACCGTGGGCAAGGGGAGCGCTCGGGAGCTGCTGAGGGGCAGGGCCGGTCCTGTACCTCGGACACTCAGGGGCTGCTCCGTCCTGCTCCCAGACAGGCCACGGGGACAGCGGGGACACTGAGGGGACACTGAGGGCACCGAGGGCCCGGGCACCGCCGCGGCTCGGGGCCGGAGCGGGCGGGAAGGGCGGCAGCGCTGAGGGGGTTCAGCGGCAGCGCTGAGGGCAGGGCCGCGGGCCCATGGCGGCTCTGGGGCTCCGGCCGGCCCCGGCCCTCGGGGGTCTCACCAGCTCCGGCGGCGGCAGGGGACACACAGCAGGGAGGGGACACACACAGCAGGGAGGGGACACACACACCAGAGAGGGGACACACAGCAGAGAGGGGACACACACACCAGGGAGGGGTCACACACACGGAAAGGGCCACAGCTCGGGGTCACAGCCGGGCTCTTGGTCTGACTTTGCTTTAAGCTAACAGTGACAGAGGTACTAGAACCTTCCTGCAAATCTCTTCGAGGCGTTTGCTACGGTTATTTTACACACGCACAAATGCACACATGTATATATACAATAAGTTATTGGTTCGGAGAGTTCCTGTGCTTCGTGATGCTGCCCTGCCAAGGGACGGCTGCTACACTGATTTGGCACGGTTTTTTTTTCCTGACAAATTCAGGTTAACTCTGACTTTCACCCTCAAGTTTCTTGCCACTTGGAAGATATGTATTTGCTAGCATGGTTGAAGGGTTTTTCTTGGAATTCAGTTTAGCTGGCTGACTTTTACAGATTGCTTATTTCTCTCTCTCTTAAAAAAGAAAGGAAAAAAGTATGTACATTCCAGCCTATGCACTGCTTCATCCATTTTCTGTCATAACCTAGAACGAGCTGTGTCAGGTTTTAGGAAATTAATGATTCATCTTAGTACAACCGAGGTTGCTCTTTTTAGTTTCTCATATTTGACCTAATAAAAAATTACTAAGTTTTTGATCACAAAAACAGAGACCAGACTGGTAAGCTTTGAAAAAGAGAGCTTTCTTCAAGGAGATCAAGTTTTTCCCACACTTGTCCATTTTGTGAATAGACAGATGTCAATTTCGTAAATACACAAAATGTCAATTTCATAAGCAAACATCCACTAGTTTTGTTATACCAGCATCCTTTAGCACAAGCTCATCATTTTGGCTTCATGCATACAAAATTCACTGAATCAGTAGCTGCAATCCAGCTTGCTGGAGTAGAATTACTGAGTGGAGAACAAATGGAATAAAAATTAATCCAGGGATCCTACTGGAAAAGTGAGTTTTCCCAGCAAGGACACTATGGTGGGCAGGAAGTGTGATCTAGGCTAGAAGGGAGGGACTGGACTTTCTTCATCACATAATATTTGCAATTTGCAGGAAAAGCTAGGCAGACTTAATATGTAAAATGGTGTGAATTGTTCATGGTATGGAAATGAAGGAAATCTGAGCTGCTGGAACAAACAGTGTGTGGAGACTGCAGTGGAAGCTGAATCAATTCCTAGACCAGAGCTGGCTGGTAACAGGGGAATAGCTGAAATTTACTTTACAGGCATATTGTAATTATATGCAAAAACGTGATTTATAAGAATGGTTCTGTGTTTACTGCTTATCTCCAACTGAGCTTTAGAGGTCCTGTTGAGAATAACATAAAATTTAGCATTTTGTTCCTGTTCAATAAACAGTAATTAGGAAGCAATTTTAATTTAAGGCCAGCTAAGGTTTTGCTGTTTACAATCACTAGCAGACAATGACTAGGTATACAGTATGTATAAATGACAGATTAAAAATATTAATAATGAAGAAATATTAATGGAAATATTGCTTTTCATTACATGACACTCAGTACAAATCCTTAGATCAATTTTACAGGTTTAACTGCCTTTTTCAGTTCTTAAGTAGGCAGCACTTGAAATTATACACTTCATCCTGCATCCTTTGCTTGCTATCCCAGTCTACCACACTACCACTTGCTTTTCAGCAGTTATCTAGCTCCCCTATTTTCCCTAGTTTATTTAATTTTATATTTTGTCTTGTTTTAAAACTATGGAGCACAACTGAAAACTTGATGCCAACCTAAGAGCCTTTTGTTGAAATAGTATTTTAGTATATTATTGTCCTTACTCTGCTTCTCTGTAAATTATCCAGACTCATTACTGAGGCAAAGTCAGTGTTTGAGCTCCCATAAATTGTTCCAATGCATGGCAGAAAGAAGAAGAGCTTATATTTTAGTAATCTGCCTAAAAGAAGATTAGGGGTGGCATCTGTCTGTAATAACTCTCAGGATGTATTTCCAAAGTGATATTCAGAAAAGACACAAAGAAGAGACTGTGGTAAGCTTAATTCTAGCTTTCAGTTCCAGTTTTTTGATGCAGAATTGTCTTCCAAGTATCTGCTTAGCTTCAGTGGGAAGCAATTTAGTTTTAAATCTTCAGAATGGCAAGAGGGGAATCTCCTTTGTTCGAGAGACAATTATGTTTTGCTTATTGACTGATAATATCAGTAACAGAATTAAAACCATGGGTTAAAGACTGAAGTTTGAAGGCTGGAAGATTGAAAGAAGTGAAAGTTAAAATAAAAACAGCAAGACACTTAGGCTTAAGGCAAATAAGGGAAAAAGACCAGGAGGAAGTCATCAGCCAGTGATTTCTCTTGTGATGCCTGATCTGCAGGAGCCTCACCATCTGTTGCTTGGGTCTAAACATTTTAAAGTCATTCTGTACTTTCCTGAAATACTGATACATTTATATTTTAAATGAATGTCTTCCTTCAGCATTCCTCCACAAAAGTCAAGCATCTGCAGAGAGAAACAGCTGTTTCTGCCCTACCCTAAATTGAACAATGTATTAGAAAAACCCCAAACTGTTTAACAATTGTCAACATCTGCCCTTTCTGTGTTCTATCTTAGAATTCTAGTCTACTTACAATTTTTCTAAATAAAATTCTTATTTTATTTAGCTGTAGCTTTAGGTCTGTAAAGACTGGAGCTTTAGGTCTGTCCCTCTGTGCCCTCCTGTAATTGGTGGTGGAGGAGATGGGGTTTCAAGGACTGACTGGGTTAAAATTAATTAGAGAGGAGCCTCAATACTTTGGGAGATTGGACATACATTGGACCAATTTTTGACTTGCCTTGAAGACGTCAATCCACTAAAAACCATTGCATGGCTGACCAAGAGCAGAAAAATCAGTCCTCCCGGCAGAATCACAATAAAGAAAACACTTTGTCTTTTCACTAAATTCCACAATATGGAGCTGCCATTGTGACCTCATTTAAAGAGAGCCAGGTGCCTTAGACACTGAGCTTCACAAAATTTTTGCAAGTACAATTAGTGACCAATTTCTCCTCTTTAATCTTGGTTTTAGGTAAGAGTCCTTTCTGGTACTAGCTGGAAAAAAGGCTTTTAGAGCTAAAGATGGTGTGTCCATTTTGTTGCCACATCTAAGGATCGCACAAATGACACCAAGGGGAAAAGACCACCACCTCTAAAAAGCCCTTCCCAAAACCCAACCAAACAAATGGCCATCCAAAGTTCTGCCACATAATAAAATTGTGTCTTTTTTTTACTAGGCAAAACTTAGTGGTACCTTGTTGCAGCAACATATTCTTAGATACATCAGTGGACCCAAATGAGTCACCTTTTTATAGCAGTGAAACATAATTTTGACAAATATGCCTTAAGGCAACGGACTACTGTTTTTGAATTACGAAAGCCTAGAATTAAACAAAAAATTAGAGACCTTCTATACATATCTACCAACCGGGTATTTTCAACAATAAGACGGAAATATTTAATCAAAGTGTTCTACACCCTGCAGAAAAAGCTTCTGATATAATCTTTATGAGGATTACTGGCTGCCTCCTCCTGTGTGCAGGGTAAGGCCATCAGCCTCTTTGATCAGCACAGGAAGCAAATGTGTGGATTTGCTCTGCAGGAAGGATGCAACTTCCTAGTTTCCTACTGTTGCCCTGTCCCCTTACAGCTTCTTGTATAGCAAAACTGTCACCTGACCAACCCCAAATCTCAAAATTCATCTCAGAGACAGCCTCCTCTCTAGTGAAGGCAAACTCAGACTGCTGAGACTCTGTCAAGCTTTCACAGAACAGTGACATTCATTGGACTCAGCTTCCTCCGTACCTGATGAGAAAAGAAAAGCAGCATGACAGCAAGCAAATGTTTAATTTATATTTCATTATCAGACTCACTAGATATGACCAGAAAAGGACACTGGAAGAATTATCTATTATGTTGAAAAATGCAGTTTGAGGAGAGCATGCAGAGTATAAATTATGTTCCACATTTAATGAATGACATGAAACAACTTTCCAGAGAAGTATCAGTAACACAGAACCTCGTATGACCTATGCCTCTTTCTATTTTACAGATTCTCTGGATCAGAGTAGCGTGCCTGACGAGTGAGCTCCCCTCAGTGCTGGAATGTGACAGGAAAAGGTCCCTGACACAGCAGTGACAGCAGGAGAAGGTGCACAGAGCCAATGTCCTGCACGGCTGCACTGGCTGCAGGTGTCACGGAGCTCTCCTGAGACTGAGCTGCTGTGGCTTAGGCAAGCTCAGAGCTGTGCTTTCCTGGCTTAGGCAAGCTCAGAGCTCTGCTTTCCTGGCTTAGGCAAGCTCAGAGCTCTGCTTTTCTGGCTTAGGCAAGCTCAGAGCTTTGCTTTCCTGGCTTAGGCAAGCTCAGAGCTCTGCTTTCCTGGCTTAGGCAAGCTCAGAGCTTTGCTTTCCTGGCTCAGGCAAGCTCAGAGCTCTGCTTTTCTGGCTTAGGCAAGCTCAGAGCTCTGCTTTCCTGGCTTAGGCAAGCTCAGAGCTCTGCTTTTCTGGCTTAGGCAAGCTCAGAGCTTTGCTTTCCTGGCTTGGGCAAGCTCAGAGCTCTGCTTTTCTGGCTTGGGCAAGCTCAGAGCTCTGCTTTCCTGGCTTGGGCAAGCTCAGAGCTCTGCTTTCCTGGCTTGGGCAAGCTCAGAGCTCTGCTTTTCTGGCTTGGGCAAGCTCAGAGCTCTGCTTTCCTGGCTTAGGCAAGCTCAGAGCTCTGCTTTTCTGGCTTAGGCAAGCTCAGAGCTCTGCTTTTCTGGCTTAGGCAAGCTCAGAGCTCTGCTTTCCTGGCTTGGGCAAGCTCAGAACTCTGCTTTCCTGGCTCCTGGGCTCTGCTCTGTGCCCAGCCAACAGCCTGCTCCTAGATGTGAACTCGAGCTGTGCCTGGAACTTCACCTTGCATTCCCTT